AAAAAAATCAATATAATTTTCCCCATTCAAAAATCCCTAATTTCTTACAAATGTATTTTGCATTATACTAAATCAATATTTGTCGCTATAAAAGTTTTTTTTTAGTTATAAATTTTGAATAAATGTCAAATAAAATGTACAGTTCCCTTTTTGGTGATAGTGGAGAAATACTGACGTTGTGATGTTTCCTATGAAAGCTCAGAAGAAACAGCAACCAGAAGTTATATTTTCCCTCAGCAATTGCTACTGGCCTCCGGTCACTGCAAACTAACATTTAGAAAATGCCCCAGGACAGTAATTTGACTTGAGGTATAAGTGAACTTGATGTATATGTATAKTTGTAGCATTCAGGACTACTTCATCCACAGCTCAGGAGCTTATACTATCTTCACCACCTGCCCCCACTTCATGTCACCAGGGCCTTMGCTCTCCTTCTTCCCTCCCTTCTCCTAATACCAGGGGCTGGAGGAGGCTCTGGAATTGCTTTGCCCACTGGGCAGCACGCAGCAGGGCATGGCCACAGCATGCAGRCAACAGAAATATTATGGCAGCACACACAAACAGTGTCAGCATGYTACCCACCTAGCCCATACTTGTTTTGCAAAGTCATTTTGCATATGCCATTGCTTCTCTTATTGATAATTTAATAATAGGTGCTTGTAAAATAATAATAAGAAAATAAAAGGTGAAATCAGCAAACTAATAATGGCCTAATGTAATAAAGACAGTAGGAGAAAGCTGGACAGAACTAGAGGAGAAGCAGCAAGGGTTATGATATTAATATACAAGTACTTGTGCACAGTATTGGGGAAAATACCAAGCAACAGATCTTTTCTTGGTGGCATCTCAGAAGAATTTAGACATTAGCTGGAAAAGCTGTCAGAGGGGAGACCAAAGCCATAATCTTACATGATTTTAGGTGTTTGCATAGTACACTATTTGATAAAAAAAATCAGATTTAGTGATTAACCGGTAATTATTATAATTATAATAATTTTATGGATCAAAGTTYCACTGAACAGGCAAATAAGGAAATGAAGCAAGTATTTGCTCATGTTTCTCGCTCATTCACATATTAGAGAATAAAGACATTTTTTGCTCGCTAATGATACAAGCATTTTCACTTGGTCTGCCACAAATGGTCACATGGTCTGCCACAAATACAGTTTTCAAACACATAATYTCAAATCCTAATAAAGAAAGTCGGGCTTTATCAGCTGTTAGATGAACCTGCTTGCCTTTCTATAACTASTTTTCCTATTATGTCCTTTGCTATAATATTCTTCCTTAGCATCAAGGAAAAGCATCAASGACAGGCAAGGAAAAACCACCACCAAAAAAACTTCCTCCTGGTTCATGAAGAGGCCTCTCTCTTGCTATGGTTACTGCACCTGTAATATTAACAATAGCTTAAAAACAAAAGGAGGACTTTTATAACATCAGGTGGCACCTTCCATCCATTTAGTAGCTAGAAACTTAAAGGGGGCGCATTTAGAGTAGTAAGAAGGCAGGTTTATTTTTTTATTTCTCTCTTCCTCACTGAGGAAGCAGCTAGCCACTGAAAATTTTATTGAAGTTAATCACTGGAAAATATAATTTAAACAAAAATCATTACTAATGGTAATAACAGAAATCTTGACTTATCTCCATTTTTGACACAAGCTATATCTGTGATGTCTTATAAAATTAATCAAAAAAAGATAAGCTGAAGTTAAAATCAAAGCCTTCTGTCCTGAGAAAAAGAATCTAAGTTGTAACTGGGATAAAAAAATGTGTTTGGTCTTTACCAAGGTTTGGTTGTATCATGCAGACTGTTGCAACTATATTGCCACTAGAAGTGTAATACTGGATAGGATGAATGAGGAATATTAGTGGTAAAGTGAAAATTAAAAAGCATGCAAAAGTTCTGGATAAATCATTTCACAGAGCTCATAGATTTAAGAAGCAGGCACCAGTAAGAGCTTGTGTGAAACCAGAGAAACCCTGAGAAGAGGTCTTATGTTTGTACTGAGGCAACTAATAACAGAATAATTGCACTGGGATTAAAGAGAACATTTCTTATAATTCTAGCCTAGACTGGAAAAAATAGTTGAAAGTCCTGTTAGCAATTAGCATCTATTAAAGCATCCCATTAACAACAAAAAAACAACCTACCCAACTTTAAAGCACTACTAGAAAACCCTTACAGGCTCCGGTAGAAATATGGTCTGCTTACTAAAGCTGCTCCTTCTACCCCGTAAAAAATATTTAAATACTAATTAGGATATAGGGGCTGTCTTACCAAATCCATTCCACAATAAGGAGCAAAAAAACTCCATAGGTCTACCAGAAGCCACTTAACAATGCTATCACCAACAGGAACAAACAACAACAATAATCAATTTATCAAGTATTTGTACATTCTGAAATCTCCACAAAATGTGATCACACATAAGATCATAATCATAAAAGTAGATGACTTAAAGTCAACAAAATATCATAAATGATCCAAATTTTCCAAATGATCCAAACAGCTTTTCGAAGATTATGTTGTAGACAATATTTCAGTGGTTTGTATTTTAAAAGGAAAACAAGACAAACAAAAAAAACCCCAACAATTTAAATACAGCATTTACCCAGGTTTCAAGTTAATCTAAGTACGTCAATTAAATATTGATTAAATCTTGCAATCTTAATTTAAGTGAAAATACCAAAAACATACCCAAAACATACCCAAAACAGTTGTTTTCCCTTCCGTTCCTGTAACATTTTCAAWTTTGTCTAATTCATCAGAAAAATAAAACACAATAGCATGCGAATGAAGAAATGGACCCAATACAGCACTCCATTGAAAGCCTCTCTCTCTGGGTTTTTTCCTAAGGCCAGTCAAAAATTCATTTACAATTCTTCTGCAATTTACATTACCACCACATTCCACAGATATGCCTTTTATGTAATATGAGGAATAGTCACAAGAATGACTATAAAAAAAAGTGCCCTATTACCACAAGTTGGAGCAGAGAAAAAAAGTTGGATTGCCTTTTAAATTCATGAAAAAACATAACTTCTGTTATAAGATGTAAATATACATTTTATTGTATATGAAACAGCAGAAACTCAACAAGCACACTGAGAGAACATTGATCACATCTGTGTGTGTCTCAACTGTTATACCCTCTAAATCTTAACGTAACATAGCAAGCATATTTTGCATATCCAGCCATTTATTTAGGTATCATTTAAATTTTCTGATAGCACTTTCATTAGAAGCAGCAGAAAAAGTAGTAAACTATCAAACTCAACAAAATAGACAAGATGCTTATTTGTTTAAAAAGCATGTAAAAATAGTGCATACATGGAATGTGAAGCTAAATTCTTGGGCTTGCTGTTTTATTGCTTCTTYCGCATGCTCTATGGTCACTCTTGCAGAGTGTCCCGCATCGTGTTATACATGTCAGAAATATTTTTATAAGACCTCAAAATCATGCAAATTTATTTTGCATGACTTATTTGCAATTAAATTTATTTGCAAATTTATTTGCATGCTTCCCGTCCACCATGCAAATTTATTTGCTACTCTGCACCTCTTTTCTTCTATTCCTATTTTACTTTCTAAATAATTGTTAACACTGTGGTCTTTCAACCATTTCCACAAGCTGCTCCATCAGATATAAGCTTTTTTCATGCTCGTTATATGAAGCGRCTTCTAAACTATAYGGAAATATGAACACTAAAAGCTATTAAAGGAATACACRGAATGTGTACATAGCTCTTACACATTATCATGTGTGCTCAATATTGTAACAGGATAAAGGTTAAGCATAATATTGTTTGACCCCTTCAACTACTGACATTCATGCCATGTTATTGTTAGTGTTGCATGTTAAGCAAGCAAATTTTCAATGAACTTGTGTTGGCTTTACCACAGACACAGATGTTAGGCGGACTCCTTTGTTCATACGGTTCTCATTATTAACTGAAACCAAGTTGAATATTTGACTGAAGGAAAGGACCATATCATTGTTTTCAGATTTTGYTCTATGACTTAACTGAACTACATCTGCCAGCTTTGGAAATACCAAGTACTTCTTGGCGCCAGTACTGGCGCCTTGCTCTATGACTACCATCTTAAGCGCTTCAGATTGAGGAAGTCTACTAACCATCAAAACAGTTTAATAAAAAACTTAAAATTATGATTAAGGATTACTCACTAGCTGATATAGTGCACTGAGGATTTTTTTTTAATGAATAATTCCACAGAAATAAGAAAATCATAGTAAACTGAATCCACAGCTGTAAATACGTAGCCTAGAAAGTTCACAAGATGTTTCAGTGATTTATGAAGTCTGTGTTTTACTTAAAACCACATTTATTTAATAGATAGGCTGGCACTTCACAAGATAATTCAATCTGCTTCAAATCTATCCAAATCCTTTGGGAAACATAACGGATGCTCTGAATATAAATGCAGTTCCACTTTTCACCTTTTTGTACTACTGTCTCTTAGCATAAATGTGAAAAGTACTGCATTCCCTCAAAAATAACTCCCCTATGAAAAGCTGCTGAAGACGAAAAAAATACACCATTTGTGCTAAGCCAAATATAGGAACTACTTTACACCGCAAATCAACTAACTGTTACAATTGACACTTTTGGATATCTCCTGGTGATATGTGAATTACAATACACAATGCATCAAAATTTCTTCTTCAGAAAGACCAAAAATCAAGGACTCTAAATTTCATATGATTTATGTCATGCCAAAAACTACAAATGGCAATTCTGCAAATAAAAAGCTAACATTCAACTAATTCATTTTCTATACTCTACAAGGAAATACAATATTACAAAGAGTACGATTAATGTCAGAACAAACTGCTTCCAGAAAAATAAAGCTTAAAAAAGGTCCTCACATTATTCAAATTTCCTTTAAAATCAAATGAAAAGATGGAAATAATTAGCATTTCCAGATTATCAACAACCTGCTCTGAACAAAAATCAACAATATTTACTTCACTTACCATGCTGAATGTCCTTCATGTCTAGATGAAGGCTAGACATGAGTATTCCAACAGCTTGAGATCTTTTGTTACTTAACAACTTGACAACCTGCCGAAAGAAACCCACCCATTAGTATTCACCTGCATGAAAATGTTACACGATATTTTGCGTTATTAGTAACAAATTCAAGAAACAGTAACTTGTAGTTTATATCTATGCTTCAAGATGTTTGATTTTATTATTTTCAAAGGGTGCTTTACTGCATGAATCCATTATAAGTGTAGATAACCACGTCATCAAGCTGAATCTTAATCCTCACAGAATCACTACAAAACTCCCCCAAGACTTCATCCTTCATTAGGATGTACACTTTCAACTTCACACTGATGCTATCAAGTGTATGAAACAGACTGTCATAAAAAAAAAATCCAACTGCGTCTATCTTGGAGTTGCTTTAGTTTACAGAAACCACACAATAATTTCCATCTTTGATGTAAGCTAAAAATGTGAGAAGTTGTATTTTATTAAATGCTTGAAGTACTAGGCGCCAATATGATTTTTATTTAAAAAGCAAAATAACCATGTACATATAGGCATTTTCTTTGATCATTTTTAGGCAATACAAAAGTACTCAGAGCTTTTTTTATTTTAAAATGAGAAAAAAATGCTCTCAAAGCATTTTGATCTAGTGGGTTAAAATTAGCCATTAAAGCATAATTTTTTGTACATGTTTATTTTGCAAGCACAAAAGCAACAAGTAATTAATAGACTATATTCCATGCATTTCAAAACTATTTAAATCCAGCTTACTGTACATATTATACCACTGCAATGAGAAACAAATAGTGACAGCAAATGATCTTTATGTGGAAAACTGTAGTAAGTTTGCTGTGTAGGGCTACAGCCATCATGTGGATAAGAGGCTATATTCAACCTACTCACGTTGCTGTGTTTTACCTTGTACTGCACTGAAGAAAACATTTGTTATTTGTTAGCATTTGGAGAAAACAACTCGGTCAGAATAACAAGTTACAATTCTTTTTAAGTTTCAGTCAGGTAGTGTGCCCTCTTTTTCCGGTCACATAGCTTATATCTTATCATCAAGATGCTCTATCATCTACCCACTGGAAAATATAGTTTCAGAAATTGTTAGAAAATGTAGAATAAATTTAGCRGGAATAAATAACCTGATCATCTAATTCACATCTTAATGTAACAGAACTACCCACAAGACATTTTCCTTGTGGTATCACCACTTTTGATTCATTAAGTCTCCACATAAGCCTATACCTGTTGGTAGGCTGAAGTCTGAGCAGTAGCTGAAAAGAAGTGAAAGCTTGGCCCAGTACTCTTCCACTAGGACTGCTCAGTAGCAGAAACATGAGAAATTCTAGATGCTTACAGCATAGGTTTTGTGAGGTTGTGGTTAGTTGGACACTCAGTCACTTCATTTATTAAACTTTAAACTATTTTTTTCCTTAAGCCATCATAAATATTAGTGTGTCAGGTAATTCATCGTGCTTTTCTCTTAGTACAGCATTCTGCTCAACTATTGAACAAGTTGGAATTCAGAAACAAAAATAGGCCATACCTTTYCACAAGGGTAAAGACTTAAATTCAAGCTACAGCTACTGATGCAATCTTTCACAAATGAGCAAGAAATTCCTAAGCAGCAGTCTAATCCATATAATACACTGTTAGAAATTTAAAAATTGAAGTCAAATCAACTGAAAACAAAAACGATTTACAGACCAAGAATATAATAGTCAGACTTTTTAAGTTCAAAAGAAAAAAAATCTTAATTAAGAAAAATGGAGTGAGGATATCCCATACTTTCCTTCTGATATGCTATCACTCCACATGATTTTTAAATGGAACATCTAAATCTCATGTAAGCCTAAACTCTGAGATGACACTGTTGTGGAAAATGTTGATGCCAACCCYCACCATTAATATTTTTGCTCATGTCCAAAACATCTCAGAAACAATAATAAAACAACTTAAGTTTGCTGTCATCTAGACAGTCCTTTGTAGCATTCATTTTGAAACAGAAAAATATTCCAAAGTAAAAAAAAAAAAAAAAAAGAAAGAAAAAAAAAGGTAAAAGGAATTCAGAAATATTCCAAAAGGCACATAAGAAAATAGCAGTCTGTACAAAGTACTGGCAAGAACTCCTCTGGAATTAGTGCGTACCATTCTTGTCATTCATATTCAAAAGGAATGAATTAAAACTGGATTTTTTTTTTTTCCCCTGACTATTTCTTCGGTCAGGAGAAAATAAAAATAATAATAATAAAAAACCTCCTAGAGAGTAAAACTGGCCTTTTGCAAAAGAATATTGCACATGTACTCAGATGTGAATGTGATTGAGACCAAGTGACAGACCACAGTCTTGATCTTTCTTGACATTTCCAAATGAGGCAGAACTATATTGCTTTTCTTGGACATCCAGAGAGCAAGGGTCAGCTAGAACCTATCCTGAATCTACCTGGGACTGCATTGAATCTGAATTYAGAGGAATCTAATTCAGAGGAACCTATGGAATCTTAATTTCTCCTACCTTTACCAATCTCAGTACCTATAGACCAGTACCTTAGCTACAAAGTTGTGAAACAACTTTATGTTAAATCACTGTTTCTTTCACCCATCACCAGCATACTCAAATCTATAGCTCAAAGAGCTAACTGAGATCATGTCAGCAGATACGGTGACCAACAGAGACAAAAAGATTCAGTGGCTTATTAAATCCCTTTGAATCCTACATTCCAAGGACTATAGCCTAAAAGTTAAAAGGAAAAAAAAAGAAGTTGCCTTCCCCCCCTCCCCCACCCCTTTCTGGAAGTGAATTGAAGGAGAATAATTATTTACTGAGAGTCATATCTTGCATGGTAATCTGGGAATACAAGCATTATCCCTGACAAGGATAGATCGCCTTTGCTGCTACAATTATAAAGTACAGACATTGTAAAAAGGAAGACTGTCAGGTGAATGGGCTGCAGAACAGCAGGAAAGTGTTTTTATATAGCAAATATCATTTTTTTTTTTCTGGCAGTATTTAAAAAGTAGATTTTATATTAGCTTTTTACCCTCATTTTTATGCATTCATTCTCATTTCAGAAAATTGCATGAATAATATAGTTTCCTCCAATAGAATGGTCGTAACAATACAGTACTAATTCAGAAAATATGAATATTACCATAAACGCCTACAGCAATTCCCACATTTAAAAATAAAGCAATAAAATAAATCAGCTGCATAGTCTAGGCCTACAGGCTACAGACTAGTGACGCCATTTAAAGGCGGAACAACAAAAAGTTGATAAATTCAATCTCTACAAGATCTAAGTCTCAGACACAATACAGCTCCTTTTTACTTTGGATTCTGGAACTCTGTTTGAAACAAATTTGGAAAAATAAATAAAAAGGAAGCTAGAGATATAATCTGCAGCCTAAAGTCTAGGACAAACTTTCTAATTGTTSAGTGGTCCTCATTCTTAAGCAGTAAACAAACTACATGCCAAATTTGTTCCCGATTGTTTAACACAAGCAAAACAGTCAAAAAGATATTTAGCAAAAGGTAATGCAAGACACATGTTTGATGAGAACCCTGAAGCAAAAATACAAAGATTCTCTTTCCCCAGAATAATATTTAGTTAATGCATGGAATTTTGCAGTGATGCTTTCTTTCTGGTTCTGATTTTCACTACTAGCATTAAGCAAAATTATCCCATGGTTCTAACTGGTTAGGAAAACTACTGTACATTATAAAAAAGTAATAGCTGGAAACTCCACTGTAAAAATATAACTTTTGCAGAGAGGATGTAGAACTCCCAAACTTCCCAGCACAATCTTAAAGAGCCCAGATCAAGGCAATAATGAAGTAATCTCTTGGCTAGGCCTTGTAACAACAGTTCTTCCCTAGTGAATGTGAAAAATGCAAACAAAGAAAAGGACCCAGCAAATCATTTACATGTAAATATGTCCATCTCTACAGATGCAACATAAAATACTGTGCTCTCATAAAGTTATTTTTAGGCATATGCAGACATAACTTTTGGATGATAATGGCAACTGTGATACGAAAAACAGGGTCTATTTCAAGTAGAAAGGTACAAGAGGAGATTAAATATCTATAATTAACTCTTCAAAAGGAAAAATGGGTGATAGGTATGACACCCACTTATCAGCACACCCCTGTCAATTTTACACACCAATTTAACCGAAYTGAACTTTTACCACAGAACATTGGTTACATTGGTTATTGGTTASACTGGTTATTATTGGTAACTTTGAGCACCACCTCACCTCCTTCCTCAAACCTAAATGCAACTTGATGTCATGCGATGCAATTAGTAAAGCCACAGACACATCTGCCAGTTTATGGATGCTACAACTTCATGCTTATGTAAGATTAAACTTCTCATTTATCCTTCATTCTTTCCATCTATCCCCCTACACTAGTCTCAAAAAGAATGCTTTCAACCCTGTGGATAATAAATAGTTCATGTCCTTTTATGTTGTGTTATCACTAAAATACCATAAAACTGTTACCATAGAAGGAATCCTTTACTACTAGATTGTTGCCTCAGTTAATATTTCTGTTATGACATTAGTTGAAAAATTATTCAGATTGCTTAGATTCAGATATACAGCAATAAGTAAAATAAGCATTGTGTTCCTCAGCAGGAGACTGATCAACAGAGTAGAATGATCCTCTCTTTAAAAATAATCAGTCTTTTAATATTAACKACTTGAGTGGGGAAGTTTTTTCCCTAAACTGGGACCAGGCTACCTTCAGGTTAGTTTCTATATTTAAAGCCCTTATGGAGATAATTGGCAGAAAGTGTCTGATTTAGTTATGCAAATATRGGTTAAAATACTTCTATTCTTCAAAAAACAAAACCCAAACAAGCTAAAATTTCCATTAAAAAATGGACATGAGTCACAATTTTCATGCAGAGCATGCAATGCACTCAGCAGTTAATTTTTACAGGTGGTCAGCCAAACAGATTTCAACAATCTTATCACTGTGAACTCAAATTAGATATGCAATTACACACAAATTTGCAAACCCTTGCCAAATATAGTGCATGCTCAAATATATTCAA